TTTGCTAACAAAACCCTTTTAAAGTCGTCACCAAGTAACAACCTAAACTTCCTCATACCTTCGTGAAGTCATATCAAGGGAAAACCCCCTGAGTCTTTAACTTTGCTAAATAGTGGAGACAAAACATGGAGATTACTTAAGCATATCTATAGAAAGCCTTTAGCCACATGAAGAAGTAAGCAAATAAAGGTCGAAAAGCATAAAACTTTAAGGTGGGTGACCTTATGTTAGTGAAATTGGAACTCAAAAAGATCAAATTCCTAAGATGGATAGATTAACGACTAACACAGAAGTATGAAGAGTTGGTAACGATCATTGCTAAGGTTAGGAAGACCTTTTACAAGATTGATCCACCCAAGTGGATAAAAGTATACTTAGTATTTGACGCTAGTAACTTGAAGCCATTCCATGTAGATTTAATAGATGCAAGCAGAAGTTAAGCCATAAGAGCTACCATCATAGTGTTGAGTAAAAGAGGTTCATGTAAAAAAGACCACGTTAGTCTCCTAACGACTAACACATGAGTATTTAGTTAAATAGGAATGTCTTGGAGCAGATGAAATCACTAGGGAGAGAAAGACTTATGTACCTTCAAGTAGAAGATTAAAGAAATCCCAGGCAACCAGACAGGTGCCCGATAGGCCCAAGCTTTATTGGGCATAACGTACCTTGAGTGGGGGAAGATGTCATAAGCCACCTTTGTGTAAGGCCATGACGGGTTAGAACTATCTAGGAAACTAAGTCCTTTCTTCCTTAAGAGGAAATGTCACATCTCATTTTGTGGTGAAATATGACTAGTGCATGAATCTAGATAAGTATAGCCCATTAGGTCCAAGCAAGCCTTTATAACAGTCATCATGCACAATACATCCTAGTTGTATAGGTGGCACATCAACCTCACTCACAAATCCTAAAGTGTTCCTACCCTACTTCGGCTAATTATGATCAAGCCCCACTATCGTCATAGGATTCTTCAAGCTTAGGAACGTTTTCATCTTTATCTTACATCACAAACAAATAACATTTTTATAAATCATCATCATATGCTCAGCCTATAGTTTATATGAATATTTCAGTACATACATCTCATGGCATGTATTTCATAATAACATAAATCGTTCACAGGCTTAGCCTACATTGTACATGATATGCTCAACACATACAACTCATGGCATACATGTCATAATCTCATAACTCATCCATATACTCAGCCCATAGTGTACATGACATTCTCAACACATATATCTTATGGCATACATGTTATAATCTCATAAATGGAACTCATGCATCCATCATACCTTACATGCTATGTCATGTCGAGCATGTACTTCATACCATTCATCTCTTTTGAAGGAAAACATTTGATAGGGCTTGTCCCCCTTTGTTGAAAACTAATACATAGTAGCATATTTGCATATGTAGTAGATTCAAAAATGATTTGAAAATCATTGTGTCAACATATCACAAATCATAATCAAATCTAATCTTTTGAGCATTTCTTTCAAAACTTCATAGAAACCTTATAGTTCTAATCCTTTGATAAGCCATTTATGAAAACAATATTGCAACATGCTTAAATAATTATTTCCATAGAAATCATGCTAGCTTTACATATTAAAATACTTAAAAAGGTGTATCCACTCACTAAAGTAGAGACTCGATTTTCTAGCTCCAATCACAACTCTATTTTGACATACTCCGTGGAGTTTTCAAGTGTAACAATTATCACAATCATTTCCTAAAATAAAAATCTCATAATAATTATTTTAGTTGCTTTCAAAGCTATTTACTTTTAGCTAAACTAATTTTCTAGCTAAAACCCATACTTAGAAGCTCATAAATCTTTCATCCTTACCTTAAGTAAGCTTAGATGCTTAAGAAAATCACACAACCTTTATGCTTAAATCACCAATAGAAAATCTGGGTAATAAAATCATATTGTTAGAAACTAGAAATCAAGATTTAAAGTTTTCAGAGCTTAAAAATGTCACCTTTTTCATAACAACTCAAAACCAAATCATTTAATCATAAAAATGAAGATTTCAATCAAAATGAGTTGAAAGGACTTGAGTTGAGAGAAATACCTTAGGAAAACAATTGAAGATTGAAAACCCTCAAAGAAAGTGAGATATTTATAGTTTTAAGTGAGAAAAATTGTTTTGGCCCTTTTATCTTTTTGAAAACAGCAAAATGTATTGATACATTTGGTTTTGAAAAAATTGTATCGATATATTACGAACATATATCGATATATAACCATATATATCAATACATTATGAATACATATCGATACATTTGAAACAAAATGAAGCTTTTGAGACAGATTACTTATAAAACTTGCCCCACTTATTCGCATTAAATACCATTGAAGTAAATGTCCTTGTTTTTACTTCTTTCCTTTTTACTCTCCATTGACTTAAGATATTTAATGTAAATAAGAAAACAACCTCCATTTAGATTCAACCAAAATATAAAAAAAAATAAAATTTTAAAAGAATCAAAATCTATATTTTGGTTTCAAGAACAAAATAGGAAAGGTTCGACTAAAATTAAATTTGTAGCTTCCATTTACCATAGCAAATGTACTCCAAAAATTATGAAAAAATCATTTTTCGTTATCTAAATACAAAGGGAATCATTAGCGTCATTTTTTATTTCCAAAAGATTGTTTTATAAAAATCACAAATTTTGACCCCTTCCAAACTTATAAAAATTTCTGCTTCAAAAGTGATAGACAATCTAAGTGTCAATAAATTCGTTTTGAAGGTTAAAACTAAGTTTGATATTCATAACATGTAATCTATATGCTCATATAAGGATTTTTTAACTTATCCTTTTACTCAAGGTGGGATTTCATAGGAAATGTCCCCATTTTAAACAATGTAATGGTACTTGGTAACATACTTATGAAAGCATATTGAATCTTTAAGGGGAAGACCCTCAAGGGAAGGAGTGTCCCCATTTCAATTATTGTTACAGTTCTTGGTGGAATACATGTAAAAGCCCGTTAGCTTTTTATAAAGGTGAACAATCGATGGATTGTTAGGCAACCTCATTAGTTAAGGAATGTTAGTGGTGAACCATTTAGAGCTGTCCCTATGGCCTGGCGATGGCGCATTTATACTCGTGGTCCATTTATCCTCCTTTTTCAATATTAATAAAACATTTTTTCCTTTATTTGGAACAAGTAGTTGCATGTATGGCATTTGCATGCCCTATGATTTTGCTATTGCTTTTTGTAAATTAACTCATGGCTATAATTTGTGCTTACTTAGATATCATCGAGTTCTTAGCTGAATTGTTTGGAAGTGTCCACCAAACGCCACACAAGCTATTGCTTACTTGAGCTAAGAGACGTAGTCGTGACATTTGGTCTTTTTGCCTACATTATTTCCTTTAGCTTGGTAAGGAGTTTCAAAACCACTATGAAAAATGTCTTTGATGGTTCAAGCATAAACTTTATAAAACCTTTCAAAGTTAAGGTTTAACCTCTTTACCTTTTAAATAATTAAGGTATAACCAACTCTACCCTTTAATGGTTAAGGTATAACCTTTCACAAAGATGCAATAAGGAGATTTTGAACAGCTTAAAAGCCTTTCTGGGGCAAATATGATTAATGGGTACACTCAAAGTTCGAAGCAATAAATAAGACTTCAATGTTGAGAGAGAAAATGATGATATTTAAGAATTTGATAGTACTCTTCTTCTTGGATATGTTTTTCAGAGTCTTCTTACTTCATAAATGTGGTTGGAAGCTTCAATTTATGCTAAGGAAGTGTGTTGGAGCTGTTGGAGATCATTTAATGCAGAAACTAGGCATTGAGAGCTTTAAATGTAAGCCTGCAACGCTCTAGGGATCAACCCTTTAATTTAGGGGATCAACCTTTTAACAAGAAGGGTCAATCCCGTGCCACATAGCTTGGGACAAATTCTTTTTTCTTTGAAAAGGATCAACCATTTAAATGGGAAAGGTCGATCCTCACACTTTCACATGGAGGTTTGGCTTTCTAACTTCCAGGAATCAACCTTTGATCCTTCGCTTCCATTGAGGCTTTCTTTCTTTTTTGTCTTCTGGGGATCAACTTTCTATACTTGAAGGGTCGATCCTTTGCTTTCGAAAAGGGTCATTTTGCTCTTCATCTCTCAAGGATCGACCTTTCAACTATGGGGGTCGATCTTTATAACTGAGTTTTGAGAAAATAAGGCTCTTTGAGCTTCTTTCATGTGAGAACACTTAGCCATAACTTTTCTAAACTTTTAGGGAATATTTTCACATCTTTGAATTCAAGCAAAAACTTGTTTAAATAATTTTTATCAATTAATTATTTTTCATTTCAAAATATGAATCAATTTTAAAGCTAATAAGTATGATTTAGGTTATAATTTTTATTATTAATCAAAATTTTTTAAAAATTTTATGTGAAAGAATGATCACTTTATTTCATGATTATACTATTATTTTTGAATAAAATTCAATAACATGAACTCATATATATTTTTATAACATAAATATTAAACTACGTTAATTTATATAATAGAATATAAATATTTGAAGAAAATGAGAAGTATATCAGTTGCATCTTCGAATGTCTTCATGATATATAAATTCTAAAATATATGAAAAATTATTTTCTGTGGATTAAGTTTTGTAAATCTTTTATTCCATTTCATTATTAACATTATCATTGTTAAAAAACTATGATTACATTCTTATTGGCATACACCAAGAAATGATTTCAGAACTTGCAAATCATTTAACAAGTTTTGCCCCCTGCAGCAACGTGTTGGCAGCATCCTAGTTCTCATTAAAGTTGATCTCAAATAACATGTTTAGATAATTTTGAAAATTTTATTTAGTTTTTATATAATGTTGACAATTGAGTTGTGTAACTTAATTTGTCACACCATACTCTATTATTCCCATTATATATATATATAAATAAATAAAGAGAGACAGAGAGAGAGAGAGAGAGAGAGATTGAAAAGCATAGTGGGCACATGGGGAAGGTACTTATCTTGTCAAGTTAAACATTTTAAAAGGTGTACTTACTAGCAAACAGAGCAGAATCACATGGAAAAATGCATCAAACTCATCACCCAGAAAAAATGGAAAATTCACACCAAATCCAAGACGCATTCGGGGCATTAATATTCCTCCCAAAGCTTACTTGAAAGGTTAGGAAAACTAAAATTAAAGGGAAAAAAAAAATAAGGAAGGAAATTACAACTCAAACCCCAAATGGAAAAGGAAAGGGATGGTGGGTGGTCCTAAGGAAGTATCCCACCACCACAGGCTGCTAAAAAGGAGAGGCAGACCCAAATAATGCAAAGGGCGATTGCTCACATCACATGGAGGAGCATTCAAAAGTGACTGACACCCCACACATGCCGCTGCCTCCCATTTGCACATGCTCTCTGCCTCCCAAGCACCTTCCCAACCTTTCTTCTCTCTGATAATCTATTTCACCACACTCACTCGCTCTCTTAGAAAGCTTTCAAACAAACAAAACAAATCCCAAATCCCAAATCCCAAAAAAAAAGAAAAAGAAAATCAATGCAACCCTTTTCCAATTCCCCTTAATTGTACCTCCTATATCTGTACTCTATTATTGTACATAACCACACCAAATAAGAACAACATTTAGTTAGCAATTGAGTTTAGTTATGTATATATCTCCTCTCATCATTGTCTCCTTTTAAATGTCAATCCATCTATAGGTGAGGCAGCTAACAGGGTGCAAGGGAGGTGCCTGTGGCATGTGATGAGGTGGTCATTGGTTAGACCGGCGGCTTGCATGAAGGAGTGGACCACCGTTGGTCCAACACACCTAAACCCCCTCCTCACCATGTCCTTGCTAATGCTCTCTGACTTTGATGTCTTAACTGGGATCTTGTGACCAAATTTGTATTGCGTGGAGATTGGCTTGTGATTCACAAATCCCCATATGTATTTATCAAATGATCCAAACTCCCCCTTAACCTGTTATGTAATGTAACAGAAAACAACTAGTGTTAGAAAAAAAATGCTACTTTTTCTCTTCATTCTCATGGTATTATATTTAAATAAAGCCATGTGAGGTGATTGGTGATCAAAGCAATCATGGGTCCTTCACTACTTTTATTTCCCAAAGAATATTTTTGACATTTTTTATGGGTTCCCCTGGTGATGAACAGCCAAATGTGGGGTCATGAGTTCCAACATAACAACAGCTTGCAGCTTGCAGCTTGCTTGCTTCCCAAAAACTTTTCACCAAATAAGAGGAAAAGAAAAGCAAAGAATAAGTTGTTTGGCAATCATTGCTCCGATTGGCTGATGTTTAAACCAATTTTTTTTATTGGAAAAAACATGAATGGAAAGTATAAAGTAAAATATAAATAATCTAAATAATAAACTATAAAAATCAAAGCAAACAACCAAGTCAAATTTCTCAATCTCGCTTCACAATGATGGTTTGGTTGCAAATCAGTGTTGTTAACAGCCAAAAGAAGAAAGCTCCTCTGGGGTTACCAACTTTGAACTAGGCAGAGTGAAAGTATATTAACTGGGAGCAACAGTGCCATGGAAAAGGAAAATGATAGCTTTGGACTAATTACCTCAAGAATACGGTTGGAGTTGTCCACAACACCTCGAACTCTGCTAATGTCAATACCATATTCTGAGCTAATTGCGGTCATTTCTTTGTCAGTGAACTTGGCTACAGTTTCTGCATCAAAACCTGAAAATGCGTCCCTGACAGAGAGCAAGAAAAATGCACAAAAAATCTTGTTAGCCTTTATCCTATGATGGTTAATTTCTAGTTAATGAGGGACGAGTAAAACACAGGTAGTGACCTGAAATCTTGACGTTTCTTCAAGATTGAAATCCAATCTGAGCCAACTTGAGCACCACTTAGAATCAACAACTCGAAGAGCATGCTGTGTATGAAGCTTAGAATTAGGAAAAATTAACCATATTCAAGAGAGGACGGGATTGAATGGTGGGGAGTGACAAAGATATTTTACCTGTCATCATGGACTGGAACTCCCCATTCTTCATCATGGTAAGCCACATAGACAGGATCTAAGCATGGGAAATTAGGTAATGAAGGACTTTAGCCTAAATAATTTTGAGTTCAAAATTGGAAAGCAGCTTAACTGACCAAATTCCTATATATTATATTACATATGGTCATACCTGAATTGGGCGTGATAAAACTGCACCTCTTCTCTTCCTCATCAGGCTTAGTCATAGCGCTTGAAGCATCGAGAGGAACGACCTTATATTCAAATTTGGCTGACTTCGATCTTCCATAGTGGGCAATTTTCATCTTTCTTTGTGCTTGTTGAAGTGCCATCTGTTCCCTCCTAACTGCAGCAATACTTCCTGGCGCCTCAACGATCAAAGAAGAAGAATAACTCAATGATGGCTCAATCCAAGAAGATAATCCATTCCCCATACCCTCTTTGAAACTTTTTGATTTCTTCCTCTCCAAGGTTTTTGTGATGTTTCTAGGAGTCATAACCTTTTCAGAACTTGTGTTTAATGCATTGGGATCACTCCCTCGCTTAATAGCAGCTGGCCGGGGGGACTTTGACTTTGGGGATATAGGTGGTGTCAACGAGGCCTTGGCCCTGCTACCATTACCAACAGTTGCACTTGTTGCTGGTGGCGTTGAGGCTAGTGGTAGAGGCGTTGGAGGGGACAGGGGTGGTATTTTTTTCAACGAATTTCGACGGTCAAGGCTAGGAACACGATTGCAATTAGGCTGCAGGACGGGGCGGCCATTGATCCTGGCCACCGCAGGTGTTATTTCAACACCTGTGGTCACCTTAGCATTGGAGCTACACATTTTCCTTGTGTTTTTCTGTCTTTTGGGTAGATGAAGGAACAGAATTAGTGCAAGGATGAAACAAGAAAGGCTAATGACACTTGGGTTCCTCGGAAGCTTGCAAAAGAAAAGGATATGGGTCGAGAGAGGGTTAGGAAGGATTGCTGAAGGAGTGAAGGGGGGAAGCACTGGTGAGATTATATAAAAGGTAGAAAGTGGGGACGGGACTGTTGTAACATGGGGAGGTCGGGGTCTGCCATACAACCTCTTGTGATGGGCATTTACTTTTTGGTAACTAGACCACGAGGGGTGACTATGACACGCTTCGTTCTAGGCCACTTGGCATTGTTTTCAACCAATTATTAAGTACCGGTATCCACATTATGGTATGATTATGAGATATATTATTGTATAGGGAGAGAATCATGGGAGCTGATACAGGGGATTTGTTGGGTGGGGAGGTTGTGGTGCTGCTGCCGCCCTGCTGGGTTAAAATGCACACTGTTTACCTTGGGAAACTTCCCCTGTTTCCACTTTTTGCTCATCATGGATATACACATATATTGCCTCTCATCTCCAGGAATGCAGCTGGAGTGGTGGATAAGGGAGGTAAGTATTCAAGAAAGAGACACATCAATGCTCTCTTCTTTTTAGCTGGAGGAATCTCTCTCCCCCTCTTTAGTTGCTTGGGAGACGGCAAAGGTAACATGGGAGAGTTTCTTGTCAAGCACAATTTTGGCCAATTACGAATTGTCATGTGTCCTTCAATTTTTCTTTTAAAACATTGTATTTTGATGACCAATTAAAATTTTTAAGTGTCATTGTATAAATTCATTGAAGATTTTTCAAACCATTTGGCAAACCATGATCATGACACATTCTTCGGTCAATCAAATTTTAAAGATTCATGTATAATCAAATCAAATTTAGTTAGCTTACAAAAAAATAAAATTTTATTTATAAGTTATTGTATTTATCTTTAATTAAATTTATATACGACTCTATTGTTTAGCACTATAAAAACTATACTCCTCCAAACAACTCTCTTGTTTAATTAAATTTGACCCAGTCAAATTTTGCCTATAATCTCTTTTCTTCAAAGCTCAAATTATCAAATTTCAGTGGCCACTCAAAAGAATTTTGTCAACCAGCCAACTCTCGAGTCTTCTCTTACTCAAAAGTAATTAGAAAAGAAAATTCTTCAATATTACTTTACTAAAGGTCATTTTTTACTAACATCCGAACATTTGGTTAATTGGTTGGTATATGATCTCCATGTTTAAATAGCAGAGTTCAAATCCTCCTTCCTTAAATCCAAAAAGAAAAGAAAAATTCATCTTGTACTGCAAATTTGGATGTGGCAACTATCATGAAAACTACCACAACTTCTTTAGAAGAACAAGTTGCACTTTTTGCAAAAAAAATATAGAATTGCTTGCAATGAATGTCGAAGAAAAGGATGACCAAATTACCTTAATAATGCAGAAAATTGAAAGTCTTAAGTAAAAACAAACAAGTTGTTGAAAAACAAAAGAGGCTTCCAATTCTTCAAGAAAGTGGTGAAAATTTCACTAACAAAGTTGCAGAAGACCTTTAGAAAGAATCTTCTGACCAACTCTAGGAGCTCATCAAAGAAGCAATCAAAGATCAAGCTGCAAGTACTACTCTACCTTCCTCCACTTAAGCAAAACCATACTCTCAAAAGAATCGATTGTATAAGTATGCCTAAAAACTGTCAACCATTGAAATTCTAGCAATTTGATCCAAGAAAAAATGTTACACACTTTGTCGAAACTTGTAGTAATGCAAGCTTGGATGGAGAGCTTATGTTCAAACAATTTGTTCATTCTCTAAAGAGCAATGCTTTGAAATTGGTATAAAGATCTTGAGCCTAGCTCAATCAACTATTGGAAACAACTTGAGTTCGAATTCCAAATTCGTTTCTTCTGTACGCGATGTATAGTGATAATCTTTGAAGTTACAAGCTCAAGCAAATGAAAGCATTAACTTGTGATTGACTACATTCATAGGTGAAGAAATTTAAGTCTCAATTGCAAAGACTGATTTTGTGAATTGCCTCTGCACTTGATAAGTGCATGTAGGGCATGAATTTGACTCTTTGCCAAATCCTCAAAACTTTTGAAGAATTGGCAACACATGCACATGACATGGCACTTAGCATTGCAGTTGTGGAAAATCAAGAAACACCAGTTAAGGAGCCAATGAAAAACAAACAAAAACAAGACATTCCCAAATGAGGAAAAATTTTGACTGACACATCAAAAATTGAACAGTTAATGGTTATAATAATCAAAAGATTACTCAAGATAAGGAGTCAAGAAGTGAAGCTTAATTCTTCCTGAGGTAAAGGATAAAGGAAATTCTTTTTGAAGGAAAAACATGTTGTTCCATGATTCTAAAGTCCCAAAGATGTTTTTCTTTTGAAAAGACTTGTAAATTCATTACTTTAGAAGAAGCATAATACAAAATACAGGTTGATGGCAAAACAAAAACAGCCATAAACCTGTGTATTCCTGACTTCAAAATCTGCCAATTCTGAGCAAATCTATGAGGCAATCAAAGATTTACCAAGCATACGCAAAGAGCAAAGGGTTCACACCTATACAAAGGCATAAAGAAAGAAAGTAAAGTCCCAAAGATGTTAAAAGATCATTTAGACTCACAAATCATCAAATTGCCTAAAATGAAATAACCTGAAGACGTTAGTTGAGTGATTGTTACCAACTTTTGCAGATTTCATCACTTGATTAGCCATTTAATAGGAAATTGCATCATTTTGAAATAAAAAATAATGGAACTTTACAAAAATGAAAAAATTGAGTTTGAACATCCTGAACCCTTGAGTTTTGATCAAAATTACAAAAAGTCCATTAGTTTTCACAATGGACACTCCGCTCCAAAAAAATATTTTTCGTTAGATATGTAGGTCCAACCGCTAGTCAATCATTAGTATTTCTGTCAACTTATTGCATGGTAAAAGTATAAAGACAATTTTAACTTTGATTAATTTTTATAATTACAATTATATAATTTTATTAATATTTTATTATTTTTTTTTGATTATTAAAAAAAAAGCTCCCCATTTCGTAGCACTAGAGCTCCCCTAAGAAAGCACCAATGCTCCCTTTGTGGAGGCCGATTAGGGCTCTGCATAATCGAGGCTCCCAAGGGAGCACTTGGTGCTTCCTTTGGGGAGCCCGATGCTCCTTTACGGGGAGCACCGATTTGTGCTCCTCTCCCTTGGGAGCATCTGCCGATGCTCCCTTTTCTTGGGGAGCTAGGGAGCATCAATCTGTGCTCTTTATTTTTTTTATTTTTAAAATGCAATAATAATTTATTAAATTAATAAAAAAGATATTTTAGTCCATTCATTATTTCTATTAACGGTGTTGTAGTCTGGTGGTAGAGTATCCATTTCGAAAAACAATAGACCTCCGTGTAATTTTGATCAAAATTTAAAGGAGTCAGGGTATTTTATCCTAAATTTTATTATAAGCTACTTCCCACACTTAAAAATCAAGGATGTAAACAAGTCTTGATGGACCATTTGTAGAAGGGAAAAATTTCAACCAATTATGAACAATTAAAAATTTTGGGTGGTACTAAACAAATTAATTGAAGATTTTCAAGCCCTTTTTAAATTAAGATAAAGACACATGGTTTGGTCAATAAAAGTTTAAAAACTCATGAATTATCAAATCAAATTTCATCTATGTGCCATCGTATTTATCTCTAAATAAATTAAAAAATTCAGAGATAAAATCAAAAAGATTAAGTTCATATAGAGCTATTTGACTTAGCATTATAAATATAATGCTCCTTCAAGCCATTTGGTACAAAAAATTGGAGGAAAAAGATTTTGAAGAACAAAGTTTCTAGAGCTCCCATCTTAAAAAGCAAATTAGAAAAAATAAAGTCTCTAAGTTCCAACTCACAATCCACAAAAGGTCTAAAGAAAGAGGTTTCCAAAGTTCCAATAAACAAGTCGAAGAAAGATATGAAGAATAAAGCAAATTTTGGAAAACAAGTTCAAAGAATAAGATCTCTAGAATTCCTAAACAAATTCCAGAAAGAAGGTTTTAAAGAATCCAAGCCTCTTTAGAGTTTCAACAAATTAAGATATGAAGATCAAATAATTAAAGTTCCGAAAGTTTAATGATAACGTTGATAAATCTATAATATAGAGTTATTTGATGTTAATTTTGGTTAGTAATTTGATATGTTCTTGAGTTTTATATCAAAATTGTAGGTGTTTTTTGTTATTTATTTTAATTTAAGTAAACTATGTTGGGTCAATTGAATTTAGATTATTTTAGGTTAAGTTAGTTACTGATTTGTTTAATGATTTAATTGTGTTTTTGCAGGTGTGTTATGTTGAAGGACTTTTAATTGAAGTAGAAGAGTGTATTTTAGATGCAGAATTCCACTACATATGTTGTGGTAGTTTGAGCATACACCTACTGCAGAAGTCTAAATTATATGATTCTTAGACTATTGGAAAGATATGAATAACAAGAGAAAATTGGATCGAAAGTCAAACTAGTGCATGACTGCAGCCTTCACCATTTTTTGGCTGCAGCTATCACCTGTTAGTGGCCATAGCCATCACCTAGCCATCGCCATAGCCATCACTTGTCCATGGCCATGGCCATTGACAAGAAATTACCAAAAAAAAAAAGAATAAAGCTAGTGGCCACAACCCCTAACAAGAAGTAGGAATTTATGTGCATTTGGACTTCTAATTGGACACAAATTCGAGCTTATTTAATTCTCCTTTCATTAGCATGTTTAATTAATAATTAAGCAAGGTTTTTTTGAAAAAAAAAGAAGGCATTGAAGCTAACAAGAAAGTAAGGAAAGTAAGGAAGATTGCTAATCGAAGACTTGATAAATATTGAAATTCTTTCTTTTCTTGTTATCTTTATACTTTCTTTTTTAGTTTTGATGATTATTCTTTTTTGGAAGATGTTTTTAGGAATTACATTGAACTATTTTTTTTAATCTAGAATCACAATTGAACCCAATGCGTAGTTTGAATTTTTAATATCCTTTCTTGCTTATGATTAATAATGTTTAAGTTGTTTATTTCAATTTTGTTCTTAATGTATCGAATTGATTGGCCACCAATTTAGATTAATATGGAAACCTAAACAGAATTGGAAGAGGGAGGTTAAAGTAAACCATGGATGAAATAGAAAATTTTCAATATCAATTGCATGAGATGATTGATTGGATTCATGTGTAGGGTAGAAATATACTTACATGTCATATGTAGCCATAACTAGAGTCTAAGCTTAATGAGTTTTTTTTTTTTTAATTTCAATTTGCATAGGAATAGTAAATTGGTTAATGAAGATATTTTTATAAGAATATCGAAAGAGACTTGTAAATAAATTAGAACTGTGAGTTAACAACTTAGGCATGTCTAGTAAGTCACGAGTGAATAGAAGAGATTTGGATCATCAAAACTAAAATTTTAGTTTCTTTAATTTTCAATAATTTTAAAATTCAGTTGTTTGAATAAGATTAAGTTGTTTTAATTATAATACATAGCAAAAAGATTTGAGCAATTCTTTAAGGGAACAAACTTTACTTTCTATTATATTACTTGTTAACAATACATGTACTTGGATGGTAAATCTGACAACAAGTTTTTGGTGTCGTTGCTAGAGAGTTGTGCCAAATTTTCTTTGTTAATATTAATACTAAGCAATCTTAG